AAAAACTATGGAACCAATACATTATGTAAAAAAATAACTGACAACCTATACTATCTTGATTCTCAAATATCTTCACCCAGTTTTGTTACAACTTAGTTTCTTGTTATGGAATACTTAGTAAAACAAGATGGAATCCCTAATGTGATTGATGATCTATGTCTGTGTCAACTATAAAGTATTTTGGACACTCTTAAGGAAATTGATAAATCAATATGTATTGTTTTAGATTTATATCATAAGTTTATCTCATTAACTTATACTTCTGATGTTGTAGTCTTTGGTTTTGTTTTCTTCATGTGTCGTGTGGTTTTGAAAACATACAATAAAAAGTAAATAGAAAAAAAATAATGGACAGGCTCAGAAATTACTTCTTTTAGTACCGGTGGATGCAATTCATCTGGCCCTGAGGACTTAGTTTCATTCATGAGAGCCAGCGTGGTGTAGTGGTTCAGAGCAGTGGACTCTAATCTAGAGAACCAGGTTTGATTCCCCACTCCTCCACTTGAAGCCTGCTGGGTGGCCTTGGGTCAATCACAGTTCTCTGAGAACTCTCTCAGTGTCATCTCTCGCTAGGCTAAACTCATACTGAGCTTTAGCTTTTCTAACACTCTCCCTGCAATCACTGGTTACTTGTTTACACTCATCCTTGATTATAAGGTCCTCCTTCCATTTCCTAAAGGAGTCCTTTTTATTTCTCAAGCCTTTAGAAAGCTGTTTATGGAGCCACCTTGGCTTCTTTAGGCTCCTCCTGTTTTTCCTTCTCATAGGAATTGTGATTGTGCCTTTAATATTTTGCTTTTAAGAAACTCCCACCCCTCTTGAACTCCCTTCTCAAGTATTTCTGACCATGGGATTCTACTCAGCATAACTTTAATTTAAAAAAAATTCCCCCCTGAAGTCCAACCTATATGTCTGACTACATACAGCTTTTTCCTTCCCGAAGACTGTAAATTCCAAAATAACATGGTCACTACTACCACCCAACTAGCTGCGGTGGCTCAAGTGGTTAAGACGCTGAACTGCAGGCTGTGGAAGGTCAGTAGTTCAGCAGTTCAAGACCCGAGTGTGCCGCATGACGGAGTGAGCTCTCGTCTCTAGTTCCAGCTCCTGCCAACCTAGCAGTTCGAAAGCAAGAAATTGCAAGTAGATAAATAGGTACCACTTCGGTGGGAAGGTAACAGCGTTCCGTGTGCCTTGGTGTTTAGTCATGCCGGCCACATGACCACGGAAACGTCTTTGGACAGCGCTGGCTCTTCGGCTTTGAAACGGAGATGAGCACCGCAACCCTAGAGTCGGATTCGACTGGCTTTCGAGCAAGGGAACCTTTACCTTTACCTTTTACTACCACCCAAGGTTTCCATTACTTTTACCTCATCAACCAGTTCTTCCCTGTTGGTGAGAATCACGTCCAAGACAGCAGATCCCCCTCGTTTCCCTCTCCACTTTCTGGGAAATGAAGTTGTCAGCGAGACAAGTCAGGAATTCATTTTCAGCAGAGTTCGACTTCCAACAGATATCCAGGTAACTGAAATCTCCCTTGACCACTGCATCCCGCCTCTAAGAAAACTTTGTAATCTGTTCTAGGAGTGTCTCCTCCAAGTGCTGGGCTGGGTGGTCTCTAGCAGACCCCCACCATAATATCACTATTATTTCTTACTCCTTTTATTTTTACCCAGAGACTCTCAATTGAACCTCCCTGCTCAGATTCATGTATTTCCTCAAGCTCTTGGAGGATTGACTACATTAGGGGGGTGTCGCCTAATATGCAAAGGAGTTCCTGCTACAAAAAGAGCCCTGCAAGTATATACCCCCTTTACATATAATGCTACTCCTCCCCCCCTTCCTTATTTGTCTATCCCTTTCCAACAAGTTTGTACCTGCGGTGGCTCAAGTGGTTAAGACGCTGAACTGCAGGCTGTGGAAGGTCAGTAGTTCAGAAGTTCGAGACCCAGGTTGCCGCATGACGGAGTGAGCTCCCGTCTCTGGTCCCAGCTCCTGCCAACCTAGCAGTTCGAAAGCAAGGAATTGCAAGTAGATAAATAGGTATCACTTCGGTGGGAAGGTCACAGCGTTCCGTGCGCCTTGGTGTTTAGTCATGCCGGCCACATGACCACGGAAACGTCTTCGGACAGCGCTGGCTCTTTGGCTTTGAAACGGAGATGAGCACCACAACCCTAGAGTTGGATTCGACTGGCTTTCGAGCAAGGGAACCTTTACCTTTACCTTCCAACAAGTTTACCCCTCAATCCTAAAATTCTAATTGTGAGTGTCATCCGACCAAGTTTCAGTCAAAATTGCAGCTAACCTGCAGGCAACATACATCAGTCCCCCTGGAGAAAACAGGTGCCTTCCAGAAGGGACTCTTTGGCATTAACACCCTACTGAGGTGCCTGTCATCCCCAAACCCCACCCTCATCAGGTGCTCCCCCTGAAATCTCCAGGCACCTCCCACCCTGAAATTGGCAAACCTAGGTGTCTGCAAGGAGGGCGTGCGACAAAGGAGCGTTCTACCACAGGAAGGACGGCGATAGACTCAGCACTGTCTCTCTCTGTAGTCAGGGCCTCTGGCTGTATTTTGGATGCCGTCACAGAGGGCCGAAAGCGCACGATCCCTTTCAACAAGGGGGAAAGCAACATCATGCCGCAGTTGAATAAGTCCTGAATACCTCTGCTGTGTGAGGTTGCCACCCTCCAGGTAGATTTGCAGGTAGGTGCAAACCGAGGAGAGAGATCACGGGAAGGAAGTGGAAAACGAAACAAACAACCGTGATATATTATGCTACAAAAGTCTCCAAAGACTAGAAATTTCTAGTCTTTGGAGACTTTTGTGGCATAATATATCACAGTTGTTTGTTTCCTTTTTGTAGGGCCTGGAGATATCCCAGAATTACAACTGATCCCCAGACTACAAGGATCAGTTCCCCTGGAGAAAATGGGAACTTTGGAGGGTGGCCTCTATGGCATTACATTCACACTGAGGTCCCTTTCCTCCCCAGTCCTGCCCTTTGTAGGTTGCACCGCCAAGTCTCCAGGAATTTCCCTCCCTGGGGAATTGGCATCCCTAGCTGGAGAGTGGTAGGCGGCAATGCTCCCTCTAAGCTTCTTTTTTACTTCTTCACCCAAAGAGTGATTAACACATGGAACTCACTGCCACAGGAGTGGTGGCGGCTACAAGCATGGACGGCTTCAAAAGGGAATTAGATAAGCATATGGAGCAGAGGTCCATCAGTGGCTATTAGCCACAAGGTATAGATAGGGGCTCTGGGGCAAGTGATGCTCTGCCTTCTTGGTGCTTGGGGGGTCAACAGTGGGAGGGCTTCTCATGTCCTGGCCCCACTGGTGGACCTCCTGATGGCACCTGGTATTTCTGGCCACTGTGTGACACAGAGTGTTGGACTGGATGGGCCTTTGGCCTGATCCAACATTGGCGTCTCTTATGTTCTTATGTTCTTAAGCTATGGAGGCTTGTGAGCAAGAATTCTACTTTGTGAGCTACTGGCATTAAAGTTGTGAGCCAGCGATTTGGCTACTGCAGAAACTAGTTTGCTCTGGAGCCATCCTTCCTGAGCTAAGACAAAACTGTGTGAGTCAGGGGCTAAAAAAAATGTGAGCTAGCTCACACTAACTCAACTTAGAGGGAACACTGGTAGGCGGGTTCAGTGAGTTTCCTGGGTGAAAACGAGCAAGGGCCAACATAGGGTTGCCAACCTCCAGGTGGCATCTGGAGATCACCTGCTTTTATAATTGATCTCCAGATGACCAAGATCAGTTTCCCTGATGAGCTTTCCTAAGTCACTGCTCACTTCTTCAGATACAGCTAGAATGTGAGTCTACCTGTCCTATATATTGGAAAGCAGAGTGATTTCAGATGCCAAATAACAATAGCAGGTGTGATTGGATGAGGTGTGATACCCAGAGGAGTAGTAGGTCTCACTGGTAATGAGACAGGACACCGAGGTCTTGATTCAGTCCAGGAGGGAGCATTGTCTCGAGCTTCATTATCAATTGCAATTCAGCCCTCTCTCTTCCTAATCTCCCTTTGAGACTCCTTTGTAAGATAACTGCTACTTTTTGTTTCTCTTTAAGGAGCAACTCTTGCTCTTTTCTACTTCTGCACACAGACTAACAGGACTACCCATTAGGGTTGCCAACACCCAGGCTGGAAATCGCCTGGGATTTCAACTGTTCTCCAGGTAACAGAGATCAGTCCACCTGGAGAGAATGGCCACTTTGGAAGGTGGACTCTATGGCATTCTATACCACTGAAGCCCCTCCGCTCCCCAAGCCCAGCCCTCTTCAGCCTCCACCCCCAAATTCTCCAGGTATTTCCCAACTCAGAGCTGGCAACCCGACTACCCATCTTGATCTGTTTTCTTGGGTGAGAAGGGGATGCCTGGGAAGAGGGAGCAGCCAATTCAGGTTGCAAAATTTGGAGCCCCGCGGAGGAGAAAATTTGGAAGAAGACATCGCTGGGGAGGGCAGGCAGATCTTCACGCGCAGAACGGAGGGCTTATTCGCAGGCTAATCGTAGCAGGGTTTCTCCACAGGATACTCTCCTGTGCAAGGGAGAAACGGGAGTGCTCCCGTTGTCCGGTCTCTAAGGATGACCCTGGGCCAATTTCTCTCAACCTAACCTACCTCACAAGGTGGTTGTGTGAGGATAAAGAGGAGGGGCGCAGAACCGCGTGCGCCCCGGCGCCCACTTTATCCAGACTGTGGAAGAAAATCATAAAATGCCCAGAATTTATACATGCAAATCTTTCTTTCTTTCTTTCTTTCTTTCTTTCTTTCTTTCTTTCTTTCTTTCTTTCTTTCTTTCTTTCTTTCTTTCTTTCTTTCTTTCTTTCTTTCTTTCTTTCGAGAGGGAGAGGCTTGCCTAATTCCATGCCACCGGCCCCAGGTCCATTCATGGTTAAAGCCTCCGAGCGCCCGTTTCTAGAGAGGAAGGAAATAGAAATGCAAGGGGGACAGGAATACCGGATGCACTTTCCTGTCTCCTCCTTTCTACAAGCTGGGCTCGTGTAGTGCTTTTGGAAGAAAAGCGGAAAGGTTCGTGCTTAGGACCAGTGAGTTAAAGGGCACAGGAGGGTTGATACAAAGGCGAGGGGAGCAGAGGTCCATTATTTAGATCGGATGGCCAAGCGGAGCCTCCATGTTTAGTGGCAGTACACCTCTGAATGCCAGTGGCTGTCTCTGTGGGTCGTTTGGGTAGGGTTGCCAGTTTCCAGGCGGGGGTTGGAGTTCTCCTGGAATTGCAGCTGCTCTCCAGATCAATGCTCCCTCTAAGATGTGGAGTCTTGTGAGCAAAAATTATTGCTTTGTGAGCTACTGGTGTTAAAGTTGTGAGCCAGCGACTTGGCAACTGCATACATTAGTTTGCTCTGGAGCCGTCCTTCCTGAGCTAAGACAAAAATGTGTGAGCCGGAGCCTAAAAAACTGTGAGGTAGCTCACACTAACTCAGTTTAGAGGGAACACTGCTCCAGATTGTGAGGGTCACTTCCCCTGGAGAAAGTGGCTACCTTGGAAGGTGGACTCTATGACATCATAACTCCACAGAGATCCTGCTCCTCCGCAAACTCTGCCTCCCCCAGGCAGTGCCCCCAAATTTCCAGGAATGTCCCAAGCTGGAGTTGACAACTGTATATAATCTGGGTCTTTCCTGACCAGTGTTTTGCTGTTTTTAATAGATTCAAGTGGGTAGCTGTGTTGGTCTGAAGCAATAGACCAAAGTTTGATTCCAGTGGCACCTTTAAGACCAACAAAGTTTAACTCTGGGTATACGCTTTTGTGTGCACACAAAATTCTCCCCACCCCAAGGAGTTTGCTGCCGTGCCATTTCAGGCAGAAGGAGGGACGGGGAAGGTGGGCAGATGCTAAGCAAGACAGATTTTCAAGAGTTGTGACAGAAGAGAGCATTTCTGCAAATGCAGCTGCAGTTGCCGATTCCCCCTATTTGGGAAATTCCTGGAGATTTGGAAGTGTGGAGCCCGGGGACATCAGGGTTTGGGTAGGGGAAGGACCTCAGCTGGGTAAAATGTCAGAGTCCCCCTTCCAAAGCAGCCATTTTCTCCAGGTGAACTGATTTCTATCACTTGAAGAGCAGATATAATTCCAGGAGATCTCCAAGGAACCACCTGGAGGTTCTAAATACAACGGGAACCACTTTGCTGAAAGGAGTGTCACTGAGCCCACGTGGGAGTATGGCATGCAAAATATGTAAACTGTGTGGTTCGAAACTCTCTCGGCCGACAAGAGACGTCCAGTGCTTTAACAAGCAATAAGTATATGTGGATCGTACTAAAAGGTTTACATTCTGATCTCTATGCATGATTCTTTCATTCACTGTGTTTGAAGAAGAAGAGGAGATTGGATTTATACCCTGCCCTTCACTCAGAGTCTCAGAGCGGCTTACAAACTCCTTTCCCTTCCCCTCCCCACAACAGACACCCTATGAGGTGGGTGGGGCTGAGAGAACTCTGACACAAATTGCTCTTTTTCAAGAACAGCTGTGCCAGAGCTTGTGACTGACCCAAGGTCACATCAGCAGGTGCAAGTGAAGGAGTGGGGAATCAAACCCGGTTCTCCCGGATTAGAGTCCGCACACTTAACCACGACACCAAACTGGCATATTTGAGACATATGCCTTTAAGTAGCACTTGAGTGTCATTTGACCTTGAGCAATTTGTGCTCTCCACAGGTGTATTTTGTTTTTGTTATTGTAACCACCTGGAGGTTGGCAACTCAGGATGTGGGGGAAAGGTGTCCAGGGAGGCATTTTTATAAAGGGATTAGAACTGTAGCAGAATGGAATAGTCCACGAAGGTGCTTTTATAATGGAGTTATTATTTTAGATATTCTCCTCCTTTTACTGCATCGTCTTCTCCCCTAGTAATCTCAGTTTCTACCTTCTTTACAGTATACCTCATCTGTTGTTCTCATTGTTCCCAAATTCTGTGATTCTTGTCCTATTTCATTGTTCATTGGAGAGATTTGGGGTTTGCTGATTTATTCTGGTATTAACTGAAGGTGTTTTAAGCTATTATTTTAAGCCGCCTTGAACCACGGGGGAAGGCGGGATAGAGAGGTTTGAACAAATAAATATGTGCTGCAAGAGTATGTTGTTTTTATTCCGTACTCCACCTTGTGCCTCAGCAAGACAGGAAAGGCTACAAGGAAAGAGTTCATCAGTGGACGGTAGGCAGTATCTACGTCAAGGCATACAAAAAAATGGATCCTCCATGTTCAGAAGCAGTGTACCACTGAATGCCAGATGCTGTGGGGCTACCTCGGAAACATGAGGCCAGGCTAGATGGTGCTGATTCTGCATGGCTCTTATGAATCGTACAATTCTGCACTTCAATTCACTACCATGCTTCCTTCCCACAGGGCCCACTCAGTTCCCTGCTATGCATGTCTCTTTTCCTCAGAGCCAGCTTAATTCCCTGCTATGCATATCTCCTTCCCTCAGAGCTGACGTAATTCACAGCTATGTATGTCTCTTTCTCTCAGGGCCCACTTAATTCACGGCTATGCATGTATCTTTCCCTCAGGGCCAACTTAATTCACGGCTATGTATGTCTCTTTCTCTCAGAGCCAACTTAATTCATGGCTATGCATGTCTCTTT